CACACACACACACACACACACACACACACACACACACACACACACACACACACACACACACACACACACACACACACGCGCGCGCGCACACACTGGATGCTAACAATCAGTTTATTTATGAGAATAAATCTGAGTTTCTGTCAGACTAGAAGCCAACATTGTAGTGTTCAGTTTTAGTGAGTGAGAGTCAACAGAGAGTTTCTTTCTTTCTCTTGAATAAGTAAATTATTATATAAGCTTATTATTTGTCTTGGCTGTCACTTAAGCTTCCCCCAAACCCCAAATACACACAAAACTCAGCTGAGATAAACAAACAAATACTAACATGGAAATGTCACACAGTACACAAAATGGCCAAAAGAAAGATATTTAGATGTTCTTCTTAAAGGAGAAACACCTGATCACATAAGAGTTTAATATACTCAGATACGTTTTTAGGAAACTGGTGACAGCTTCTTCATCTCCATTGCTCATGTTGCCTAATCTGCTTGTGGAAATTAAGCCAGTATGTGTCATCCACACAGACATTAAAAACTGGAGTCATGAAATAGATGGATTAAAGCAACAGCGTAAATTATTACTATCCCCCTGACGACTCTGTCTGTCAGTACTTCGGTGTATCTCTGCTTGCCTCGGCTTTACCGAACACGGATGAGTATGTCATGTTCGCAGCCACAGCGCTGGCTCTTCAAAAAAACTGCTGAATTCACTTGACGTGTGCATGATGACTGCTTCCCATGGGACTGAATCATAACTAGTGAGTGATTAACAGTGAAGAGCACACAATCCCCGTGTATTAAGCCTGTTGTGTAATGGGCTCTCAGCCAGAGTTGCCGGATGTGCCCACCCCACACAGTCGTTCAAGAGGATCGCTGATATCAAGCTGGCATGCAGATAATCTACCCAGCCCAGAGAGAAAAACATGATGGTAATCTCTGAGGAGACAGATATGCAACACTCAGGGAAGCAGAGCTAATATCAGCCCAGTCTTCTTAGCTACTGATAAACAGAGCTCTTACTGTACCAAGCCGTACCCTTCTGTCTTCATAAATTGATGTAAACAAACATTTTGGTGATGGAACGACCACTTTATACAGCTGCAAAGAAACAGCTATGAGCATCTCACTGTCTCCTATCTGCTGATTTTGAGTCTCATTACTGTACTGTTTTCTTATCATTTACTTTTTTACAAACAATCAAAAATGCCAAATATAATCTAATGTAACTGCATTGTTCTGTCTGTTATTTTAGGTTTAAACCTCAAGGTGTGGAAGTGCAGGTGTGGTGGTGAAGTTTGGACCAGATGTTCTTTGAGTATTCTGCCTCATCCTGGATTAGAAGTCACTCGCTAAAGGCCCTACAGCAGCTAGCTAGCAGCAAAGAAGCCTAATGCTCACAAATCTTCCCTTCATACTCTTCTCCTGAAACACTGCCTCTCCTCGAAAGATTTCTGCGAGCAGAGAGCGCAGAAAAAATGGCGCTCAGCTCTCAGTATTGGCCTCCTTTAATCTGGCTGTGCGTGGGATTGCTTCTTGCCTTCCTGTCGCCCATACATGGCAAAGAATGTCCTTGTTTGTGCGTGTGTGAGATCCGCCCTTGGTTCACCCCCCAGTCAACCTACAAGGAGGCAATTACAGTGGATTGCAATGACTTGAGGCTCACACACATCCCCACAAACCTGTCAACAGATACCCAGGTTTTACTGCTTCAAAGTAACGCCATCTCACACACCAATGGAGAGCTGGAAGTACTATTCAACCTGACAGAGTTGGACCTATCTCAGAACAACTTCAGCACTGTGGAAGCAGTGGGCCTCACAAGCATGAACCACCTGACCACTCTGCATCTAGAGGAGAACCAGATCAGTCAGCTGCCAGATCACTGCCTGGGAAACCTCTCCAACCTCCAGGAGCTCTACATCAACCACAACCAAATCAATTCCATCTCTCCTCGGGCATTTGCAGGCCTGCACAGCTTACTTCGCCTTCATCTCAACTCCAACAGGCTGCATGTCATAGACAGCCGCTGGTTTGAAGAAACACCTAACCTCGAGATCCTCATGATTGGGGAGAACCCAGTTATTGGCCTCTTGGATATGAACTTCAAACCTCTAGGAAGCCTGAGGAGTCTGGTTCTGGCTGGCATGGACCTCATTGATGTGCCAGCTAATGCATTTGTAGGTTTGGATACATTGGAAAGTATTTCCTTCTATGACAACAAACTGGTCAGAATCCCTCAGCTGGCACTTCAGAAAGTCCCCAATCTGAAATTCTTGGATTTAAACAAAAATCCAGTTCACAAGATCCAGGAAGGAGACTTCAGGAACATGCTACGTCTGAAGGAGTTGGGCATCAACAACATGATGGAGCTGGGGTCTATTGACCGCTATGCTCTTGACAACCTACCAGAACTGACAAAGCTGGAAGCCACAAACAACCCTAAACTGTCTTATGTCCACAGGCTGGCCTTTAGGGACATGCCTTCCCTGGAGAGCCTGATGCTGAACAATAATGCTCTCACTGCCCTTTACCAGCACACTGTGGAGGTGCTGCCTAATCTGCGGGAGATCAGTCTGCACAGCAACCCATTGCGCTGCGATTGTGTCATTGAGTGGATGAGTTCTAATAGGACCACAGTACGCTTCATGGAGCCTCTGGCCATGCTGTGCAGCTCCCCAACTGAACTCAGGGGCCAGCTGGTTCGTGAGATGAGGCTCTTGGAGTCCTCGGAGCAGTGCCTCCCCCTCATATCCCACGACACCTTCCCCAGCCACTTGAACCTTGAGCTGGGCATGAGTGTCAGTCTTGATTGCAGGGCCATGGCTGAGCCAGAGCCAGAGATCTACTGGGTGACTCCTCTTGGGTCTAAAATCACGATAGACACAGTGTCAGAGCGTTACCACTTGAGCAGCGAGGGGACCTTGCGGTTGACTCACTTGCAGGTGGAAGATTCAGGTCGTTACACCTGTGTGGCCCAGAACACAGAGGGGGCTGACACAAGAGTCGCCACCATCCGTATAAATGGCACCCTTCTTGAAAGTGCCCAAGTGATGAAAATCTTTGTCAAGCAGACTGAGTCCCACTCGATCCTGGTTTCCTGGAAGGTCAACTCAAATGTTATGTCCTCCAATCTGAAGTGGGCCTCAGCCACCATGAAGATCGACAACCCGCATATCACCTACACAGCTCGCGTCCCTGTAGACGTTCATGAGTACAACCTCACACACCTTCAGCCTAACACTGAGTATGAGGTGTGCCTCACAGTCTCCAACGTCCACCTGCAGACACACAAATCTTGTGTTAATGTGACGACACGTAGCGCCACCTTTGCCCTGGACCTGTCAGAGCAGCACCCAAGTGCTGCTGTACTCGCTGTCATGGCAACCATGCTGGCCTTCATCAGCCTGGCAACTGTTGGCATCTACATGGCCCGCAGATGGAAGAGAAAAAACTACCACCACTCTCTGAAGAAATACATGCTGAAGACCTCCTCCATCCCCCTTAACGAGCTCTACCCTCCCCTCATCAACCTGTGGGAGGTTGACGGTGAAAAGGACAAGGATGGTAGCACAGAGGGGAAACCCTCTCCCGTTGACACCACACGTAGCTATTACATGTGGTGAGGTTTTGGTGAGGAGGCCTAGCTGCCTCTCCAGCAGCACAAAAAGACACACTTTTGCCATTTTGGTGCAAAAGTAGAATAAAGTTGCAAAATGTTGTTTTTTGTATTCGAAGCTTTGCTGATAAGAGGCAGAGTGATTAAGGACAGGATTTCTATTAGTATAGCGTATCGCCTTTGTTTGATTCTTTCTATCTCTTACTTGTTTCGGACTCTCCATGGCAGCTGTATTTAGCTTCCAGGTCGTCTTAGATGCTATGCTCTGTTCCTTGGTGCTTTTTTGACTCCCTTTCTTTTGAGTTGATAATCTAGCAGTTGGGGCCGGCGGTCTTTTAGAGATCAGCGTTTCTTTCTCTGTATTGTAAAACAGGTAATCTGTTGAGCACTGATGGAAACAGGAGTTTGTAAGAACTCCAAATAAAAGCTGACAGCGGGTATTAGACTTGTTATACTGTCTACTGAATGTTAGCAATTGTGCAGTAATGTTGTATCAACTATACCTTTGACCTTTCTGATTTAATTTGCAAGATGCTAGGATTTTATTTTACTGATAAATGTGGTGTTAATGCTAGAAATACAAATTGTTACAATATATTGAGTTTTTTTAAACTAAGGTGCGCTAGAAATGTTTTGACTGTGTCCCTATTTACTTGCTTATTTTGCTAGAGTTTTGATTGCTAAGTGCTTAGTTTATTTTCACATTAAATATGTACACATAAAAAAAATCAATAAATGATTTTTGGTTCTTTTGCAGATGTATGGTCTTTTTTCAATCCCTCTTCTAGTCTGCAGTTATTCACTCCTGTCAGATTTGGCAGACAGTTCAGTGTGGACTCACTGTCTCATCCACACCTCAGAACTGACTGAATCATTTTTGCACCATCACAGAGCTCACTGCTGAACAAACCTTACTAACTGAGCTCATACTTTGTCAACCTCAATTCTAAATATGAGTATGTGCTTTTTTAGGTAGACGGACAGATATCTGAGGCCTTACTGCCCTCTGGTGGAAGCTGTAGACTACAACTACATAATAAACCTTCAGAAAATGGTTTTCACAGAGGGCAATAACCAGTAAACACGAAATAATAGCAAAGTACAATTGAGGCATTTGGCATAATGACATTAAATTACCATGAAATGGTAGGAAATTTAGTCACCCACCCACACACACACACACACACAGACAAAATTGATAATTCTAGATTCCCTTTGACACAAATTTATCTGTTTCCAAAAACATTATACAAAAATATTTTACATGAATTTTACAACAATGTCAGTGTCATTATACATAAAGAAATACATTTCAACCTCTAATCCAACCAGGTCTTTGTTGATAATGACAACTGATAAAACCTATTTTCACATTTACAGGACCTTGCTGATCTTGGCAATTGAAAAGTTCTTTGAACCACACAAGCAGAAAGAATGACTAGAGTTATTCTACTTGTGCTAAGAAAGTAGAAACAATCAATGTTTTATATTCAATTCCAATAAAAGAAAAGGTTTAAAAGAAAATAAAAAGCCTGAATCTTTAAGGTTCGAACAACGTCTGCAATCATGTAGGACATTCTCCACTGCAAACTGTTTGAGGCCCTGTCTTCCTTTTTCTCTTAAATCATCTTCTGATTCATGTGAATGTTATGGCAGATAAATAGCCTCACTATTGAAATACAAATACTGCTTTCATGGACTTTACTTCCAACACTGGGGTTAGAGAGCAGATGGAATAAGGGACTGTGTGTTCAAGACAAGCAGGTCAGGTCACTGTCGCTCCTCAGAGACACAGCGAAACCCAAGATTAGAGGCCGAGCTGTCAGGAGTGTTCTGGCTACGGGCTGCACATCTGTATCTGTAACAGTAAGACTGGAGGAAGGAGAAAGACAAGTCAGTGGATTCATTTTCTCATCAATGGAAACTGTTCTGATAAAGTACACTCACAGTTTATTTTCGCCAAAACTCTATCTCTAATTTCTTGATGCTTTTGACAGACGGTTAGTTTAAACCATTTTTTATTCTATATTACTCCGTGTTTGAGCATAAACACCAAGCATGTGTAAAACGTCCTCTGTGCCCTTTTTGAACTAAATTAGCTACATTCCCATGGCAACCAATGCTAGTGGCAGACAATCTCAAATAGTCACCAGTGGGCGGCTCAGATTGTGTTGCAGCTTAAGTAAATGTACCACATGTGTTGGTATGAGGTCTCTTGTACTCTCCATGAACATTATGAGAGATGTTGCATCTTTCAAGTGTCTTCAAACTACATCCAGAAAAAAAGACTTTTAGACTTTTTAAAACCCTGCAGAATATATAGAAAACATCTTTTATTTATACATATTTACCTTGTGGCACATATAAGATCCTCCCTTCTTCACCTTGTCTGCACCTGATGGTGGTCCGTTCTGATAGAGAGAAGGGTGAGGAAATGTCAGAGGCAAAAAAAAACTTTTGAAAACTCAAAAGCTTTGAGGTAATGATGTTTTCTTACTGGGTTGTGTTGCTGGTCTGTGGTATGATGCACAGTCCACCAGTCCGATGTCCACTCCCATGCGTTCCCCACCATGTCATACAGACCAAAGCCATTGGCAGGAAAGGACATCACCTAAAGGATATGAAGAAAATAATGACTGCAGGTTCTAATTCAAGAATTTTATACAGACAATCTAATAGAAAAAGAATAGAAATGATTTTGAATGCATACTTACATGATTAATATTTGTAATGTTGTTATTATACTTTATCAACCTCTGAAATTAGCCATTATCTCAGCATTTCAATTTCATTGGCAGTGGCTGGGTTATAAAGCTGTTTCCATTTTTGTGACAGAAGCTCATGACTGTGGTTTCTCCTCCTTCTCGCTGACCAAAAAATACAATCTCTAAAAAACCCAAACATTCCTCCCTCTTTCTTTGTTGACTTACTGGTGAAGTTGTGACGTATCCATCCTCTCCAGAGTTATGGTTGGGGAAATCCCCCTGCCACAGGTTGGCGTAGTGTTGTCCTTTTGGGTTCAACTTGTTTCCCCATGGATAAAGTCTACATGCAGGAGCAGGCATATGTGGGAATTGACAAAGGACACACTGTATGATGGCATTGCAATATAATTTATGTTCCACATAATGAGTAAATATCACACCTGTCTTTCAGGCCGCTCCTGCAAGCATACTCCCATTCTGCCTCTGTAGGAAGTCTCCTGTTTGCCCAGGAGCAGTAGGCGACAGCATCCGCCCAGGACACATGGAGAACTGGATGGTCCAGCCTATAAATAACAGCTTTAAAGTTAATCACTGAAATCCTGTTTTATTTATCTTATTTTTTCTTTTGCAAAAGAGTAGAACAAAAAAATTAGGTGGAAAACAAGTAAAGGTTTGCTCTGTGGTTGGTATTCTTGGAAACATTTTCAGTATATGAAGCAAAGTGTGTTTCTACCGGTTGGTGATGTTGGAGTCTGGACCCTCAGGATGCCTCCAGTTGGCACCTTTGACTGGAAGCCACCAGGGGGCAGCAGCCACCTAATAACAGAGTAATGGTAAACTGTTGCTACACACATATTCTGCTTCTCTGGATACTGTTGTTCAATGTTTCTCTAACATTCCCTCTTCAGTGTTCATCTAAAACGGCCTTTAGTGTACTGTGATGGTTCTAATGGTTTCTACCATTGCTGCTCTAATGGGCACACATGCCACATGATCGGGCTGCACACAGAAAGAGATGAAGCTGTCATGTGCACATTCTCTGCTGTCTGGTTTTTGTCAGGCCTCAGGCCTCGTACGACCAAACTGTGAACCTCCTCAAGACTCTTAAAAAACACTGCTATATGTCTTCGTGTCGTCGTGTACCAGGCGGGGTTTTACAGATAAAAGCTTTGTGATCATACGTTACTCTAAAAATGTTCAAATCATGGAAGAGCACAAAAATAGTCATGAACATGGTTACACAGAAAGAAATGAAGTAATTAGAAAGCACATAAGCTACTTAATATTATATTCTCAATGAAACAAACAAATATTGTCAGTTTCATGTTTTTAAAAAAAAGGCCTTGTTTGGCTTGTGAGCTTTTTTTTCTACCCAAAAAATAATCCGGACCATAACTGTAGAAAACTGAACAGCAACCTAACCATCCAATAGATAGATAGGAAGAAAGGAAGGACAGGAAGGTGGATGGATGGACAGACAGACAGACGGACAGATAGTACAGGTAAGTGAACTGTTAAATAATCAAACTTACTGCTTGGGTAATCTGGTTTTTGACTGTCTCACTCAAAAGTCCCTCAAATACAAATGAGTCTCCAAATTTCTCTGCCTAGAAGTACAGAAAAATGAAAAAAGGAAGGAAAAAAAACATTAGCTGATGACTGTAAAGCTTAAAACATTTCAATAATCACTGTCAAATAATTGGATTACTATTGGTTTTTGATTTGAATTAATTGATTTGTCTGCTTTGAATGAATTTAGCCATACATTTAATGGTTATCCTGTACCTCAGTGACGTATCCTGTGGCACCGACAAAGGTCTGAAACTGCCTGCTGGTGACTTCCTGGATGTCCATGTAGAAGGAGTCAACGTGCACCCGCCTCTGAGGACTCTCTCCATCTGCAGGGATGCCTGGGTCATCTGTTCCCATCAGGAATTCTCCTCCAGAAATCAGCACCATCTGCATGTGAGAGCAAATAAGTTGTGAACATGAATCTCTTAAAGGGATAGTTCACTCAAAAATAAAAATTCACTCATATCTACTCACCACTATGTCGATGGAGGGGGGTGGGTGAAGTGTTTGAGTCCACAAAACACTTCAAGAGTTTTAGGGGTAAACAGTGTTTCAGCCAAATCCGATACAATTGAATTAAATGGTGACCACTTCTTCAAACAGAAAAAAACAACAGAAAATATCTCCATATTGTTCCTGCCGTGTCATCCAAGTGTCCGTAAGGCATTTCATTTCAACACCGTCTTCCCCTGAGACTCCAAAAGTGTTTTGGGGACTCAAACACTTCACCCACCCCTCCATCGCCATAGTGGTGAGTAGGAAATGAGTGAATTTTCATTTGTATCCGTTTACGCTTGAGGAGGAAGGTCACAAAATCAAAAAGAATCTTTAAAAAGGAAACTTCATCTCATTTAAGTATTGCAACTATTTTGGAGCTGTCTGACCACTAGGCTGCACGACATATGCAGAGGACATACATTAATACAAGTAAGATACAATGTCCTCTGCAACAAAAAGCAGAAAGCACATTAAAAGATAAAAAATAATAAAACACTAGAATGACACTCAGTAAAGTGCATAACTCCACCAAGGCCCAACAGTCCCATTACATTCGATCAAGCCTAATGGCTGAGCCAACAAAACAATGCAGATCATGAAATCTGAATCTCCATTGCAGAAGAACAATTTTGCAAAAAGATGAACCAAATTAAAGCCACCCTCATGAAACCACTTGCAAATCGGCAAGATCCAGATTTTCATTTGGATCCACACACCCATAAATATCAGTTCCACAAATATATTTTATCAAGATCCATGGATTGTTCCCTTGGAAACTGAACTAGAATAACAATTGTCTGTTTATGTGAATCAGATAATAGGCCTTTCTCTGAGATGGTTTGAAACCAAAGCAAACAGCAACTGTTTGCTTTTCCAACGACTGGTGGAGACTAATGGCAGGAGAAGTAGGCCGATTCAATTTCATACTTCTCATTCAAATTGGTAACATTAAACCATGAGCCACCGACATGCAGCTTATTGTGCACCAGGCTAAAGATGGAGGATTTGGTTAAATTGCAGCTATGGGGTAAAGTGCATGTAAAAACTTGGCCCTTATTGGATCTGTACACTTTGCCAGTAGGATGCAACGTCTTGCTTAAGGGCACTTCTGCAACTATCTATGAGCCACGTCACTGACAGGCTTTAACAAACTATGACACTGAGTGAGTTGGGATCTTTCAGGCAAAGTTCAGAAAGTTACAAATCAAAAAGAACCAGTGGCTCAATGGTTCCTTCTCTCTTCCATTCTGTCCAACAGATGCACAACTGGAGGTTGTCGTGTTGTCACATGACGTAGTGTACCTGACTCAGTGAGCTCCTCTCGTCTCCTCGCGCCTCGGACAGCTCCTCATTGGCTCCTCTGGAGTATTTGTCAGATGGTGAAGATGTCTTCTCCTCTACATGCTCCACAGCAGAGGCGGCTCTCCTCAGGCTCTCACAGCCGCAGCTCGGTGCTCCCTCCGCGGCGGTGAGGTCTCGCTCTGCCCCGCACGAACCCAGAACACACGGGAGTCTGGTCACACTTACAGAGACGAGGAACAACAGCGTGAAGCAGCGCGTCATTGTTGCTGATCATCTGCTCCACATCCACTCATGTTGTCAACGGGCTTACTTCCGCAAAGTCACGTGGGCGGTCAGCTGACCCTAACTCTCAGCTTGCCCGGAGTCACTGCGCGTTCAGGTGCTGCTCGGGAAAATCCCGAGATGTGAAGTTCAATGGAGAAAAACATGGAGGCTGCAAACAAATAGTGTTGTATTGAGTTTTTTTCAGAGCATTTACACAACATCTGTCATCTATCAGTGATTTAAAACCTGTGCAGGTTTATTATGAAGACATCTGTAGTGGCTAAGTGTGAAAGTTGGACAGTTTGCAAGCCAAAGGGGTAACATTTGATAAGTTCACATTAAAAGCTACTATTTAGATCTAATTATAAAAGGATGTTACATTTCTTCATTAGATAAGATAAGAAAATGCAAGATAGACCTTTATTCACTGTGTTACAGCAGCAAAAAGGACAGTGACATACACACACAGGAAAGGCAATAAATAAGGTAAAAGTACAAAATGAACACAAGGAACTTTGACAATTATTTCATTTTATTGATATTTGAATTGATTTATATTTAATTTGAGTCATCTCTACATTGATTGATTTTGCATTGTACATTGGACATTGGACTGTTTTGTCTATTAATTCCTTATTGTCTACATATTTTTGTTTGCTCACTGACGAATAAAAGGACGGAAAAGAAATAGCCAGTTTCTCATTTTAATAAATTTGTCAATGGTCCATTTTCGCAGTCGGAAAGTATGTTTTTCGATTATCCTGACACCACGTGAACGCACCGGTGCATACTTTTTATATTTTCCTATAAACCCACACACTTCTGCAAATTATGATTAAAGCTTGTAAATGTATAAGTTTACAATTATTTGGTTGCAGATAAAATCACTTTTTTACAGAACTAACAAATAAACACTATTGATATTATTTCAAAGAAATGACTTCTTCTACTTCTGCTTCTCCACCTCATAAATCCAGGCCCTGCAGTGGGAGTGATACCAGCTCTTTTTCCCTCGGGGCTGCAGGATGGGCCCACGTGCACATGGACATCATTTCCCAGCTATCAACACTAGGACCCCTTGAGAAGAACAAGAAGAAGAAGAAGAAGAAGCAGCAGCAGCAGAAGAGGCAGAAGAAGAAGAGGAGGAGGAGGAGCAGGCAGTGAGCCAGGCAGCCCAGCAGCCACAGTGTGTGAGCTGCTTCCCCGCCCCTGTGAGGTGAACGCGGCCGCGGAGCACCGACAGCAGGCGGTGAAAGGAGGTGGCAGAGCTGTCAGGAGGAAACCAAAACATCCACAGAGCCGCTGTGATCGCAGAGAGGAGCCGCGGTCATGTTGTCTTAAAGAGCCGAGGCGCCGAGCTTCTTCCACCGCCGAGGTAAAGTTGAGCGCCCAACTTGTTCACCATCCTCCTCTCTCCTTACTTCTCCTTACATGGTTGACTGGACGCTCGTGTGGGAAAACAACCAGAACACTCATGATGATAATCACATTTATAAAAAGCATCTTGTTGTCGGACCGTTCGGATTAAACAGCGTGATTGCGGATGCATTTAAAAAAAAAAAAATTGACAGCCAAGCCTGCTGCTCCGCGTACTCAAGTTTCACGTGTTTGTTTTAGAGGTTCGACAGGCCCGTGAGGAAGATGCACATTGCGTCTCGATGTAAAAGCCTCATCAGTTAATTGCCTGTCATTATTATTCAGGCTGCAGTCAAGGCCAGGCATTAGTTTCTGTGCTTTTAATGTTTTACGCACCGCTTCAGTGTGAGGTGGTGCGTAAAACATTAAAAAAAGCAGGAGGATAAACCTGGGTGAGGTGAACCTGCAGTGTCCACCTCACAGCAGCTCCAGTGGCTTGCGGCTCCTAACCCTTACACTCCTTACGCCACAGAATAACACACAGATCAGTTACTTCAAACAGAGAGGGTCTCTGCACATGTGCAGATCCATGCAGCAGGACAGTGTCAGTACTATGTTCTCAGGGAATCCTCTCTTCTAAACTTGTACTACCACCTAACATGGGAGCTCAGCAGCTATACATATGAAGTGCGGTTATATCTGCATGTGCATTCTGGTAAAAAAAAAAAAACATTTCAATATTACACATCAGAAAGTGAAAGTGCATTACACATTGTACTGAGTACTTCATTGTTCCATACATGACATGCAAAGTATTTGGGAAACACATTAAACACACATTACATTTTTCATATTACAGAAGGATGTTGTAAGACTTATCAGTCGATGTAATGACTGTGAACCAGCTAACACCCATATTAATAAGTTCTGTGCTTTAAAGTGTTATGATTTAGGTAAATAGGGGCATAGATGAGTTTAAGAGAACAAGGATAAGGACAAATATAAAGAAAATAGATGTGTATCTGTTAAAGGGTACATTTTTGGAGTAAATACAACAAGGTTAAAAATGTTTGAAGATAAGATGATAGACTAACCAAAGCTGAGACAATTATACTTAAAAACAATTTCAGCTTCAGACCCCATAGGACAGCCAACTTAATTAATTCGGTGTATTAAGGGTATTCATAATAAGCTATTGCTTCGGCCTCCATCTTTTTTGGTCATAATATTTATATCTGGCTTGTTTCATTTATTGTTTTGTACCAAATTTCTGGACCAAAATAAACACAATGAATGAATGAATGAATAAAGTAAGGCTGTATCTTTTTTACCATGTTGTGGCAGTAACATTTCTAGGACGCAGAACTCAATGTAAGATATTTTATCTTTTTCCCTATTGTCCTCTGCTGCAGGTGTTCCCTTGTGTGTGTGTGTGTGTCCACCATGTCGGATAAGATGTCCAGCTTCCTTCACATCGGGGATATCTGCTCCATGTACGCAGAGGGATCCACCAATGGTTTCATCAGCACACTTGGGTACGTCCGCGTGTGCGTGCGTGCGTGTGTGTGTGAGAGAGAGTGAGGGCCCACTTTACACTTAGCTGCAAGCTGAGCAGGACTCAGAGGGGAAGAAAGTCACACGACTAGTGGCTACCGGTTTTTAGAAAGACTTTTCCTCCTCGTCTTATTTTTGTGTGCGCCTGATGAACATTTTTTAGCTTGTATCACACCGACATCAGTTCCCACAGTGAGTCAGTGGCAGAATGTGATTAACTAAGAGATAAATGGATGTAATTTTGAACTGGAAACTGTGGTCGGCCTTTAAAGAGGTGCTTTTGATCACAACTGACCCCATCACTGATAGTGCTCTGAGAAAAGGAAATGCAGGGGTGGAAAATGCAGAGTTAATGATTAAGTGTGTGTGTTTGTGATGGCAGGGCAGGTGTGGGTGTGAGGGGCAGAGTGGGACACTAATGATAAAACTATTCAAAAGCCATTTATTCACCTGCACAGTGGCAGCAGAATTGGGTTGCTTTCCTCCATCTACATTACATCTGAAACACAACAGACCTGCTTTTCTAGAAGTAACATGCACATTTATTATGAACTCCATAATCAATATACTCGTGTTAAGGTATTATCAGATGTGCAGTTACTATTACCTCCACCAAGGAGGTTATGTTTTCACCCCTCTGTTTGTTTGCTGGTTATTTCATTTGTTTGTGAACAAGATTACAGAAAAACTACAGGACAAATTACCATGATACTTGGTGGAAAGATGTGGTATGGGTCAGGAAAGAATCTGTTAAATTTTGGTGCTGATCCAGAACTGTTTTTAGCACTTTATTAAACATTGCAGGATAAAGTTAAAAAAAACCCACAGTTTTCCCAGAGATGGATCATGGATCTTGATGAAAAATATCAAGCACAGTAAGTGATCTGATATTTATGAGTGTGTGTAATTTGGTGCTTTTTAAATTGATTTAAATGGACTGTTGGGCCTTGGCCAAGGTGTGTGCTCTGCTGAGTGCCATTGCAGTTCACATTTTCCTCTTCAGTTAGAAAATGAACTGTACAATAAGAGAAAGCTTGCATTATCATTTTGCTGGTAGAAACCATTAGATATACATAGCAAGGTGCTGTATGTGTTATCAGCTCTCAGCCCAGTGTCCATCAACTCCTCCTCCGCCCCCCTGCTCATGAAAAATGGAATGACCTACAGCAAAGACTGAGTCACCATTGACACGTTGTGGCCTTTCTCGAGTTCCAGTGTATCCCACACACACACACACAGTTTGGTGCACAAAAATACAGTACATAGAAACATATTTACAAAAGTCATTTGGCTTTTGAGCTGCACAGAACCACCAACACAGCAGCATTCTCCAAATCTTAGATTAGTGGAAGAAACCATGTGGAAAGAAAAGGAAGAAAACTCTTTGAGCTTATTAACTCATCCTGCCTCGAAGCATTCCCAGCTCCTGTTCGGTCCCCGGAGAGAGAGAGAGGCCTGTGAGCAAAGAAAAGGTTGAATATGATAGAATTTGTGCAGTGATTCTGCAGAATGACTTGTCCAGCTTGTTCAAATGTGTAAATATTTGTCTTTTGTCAATCAATGACATCAATTTCTTCCTCCCCACATATTGTCTGAGCTTTTATCTGAGTCTGCAGCTCTGCTCTGTGAGGTGCATGGAGAGGAGGAGCAGACAGGTCTGTTTGGACAACTGTAGACATTCCCCAGGAAAAAGGCTTGAAATGGATGTGGGATTTGGCTGGAGTCCAGCTAAGTGTTATTCTGAGCCAGTAAAAGCTAAATTTGTCACCAGAAATTAGAGTTTGACCACAGGTCACTTAATCCAGATTGATTTAATTACTGAAAGAAGTGACAGGCTGCAGAGCTCATAATGGACAAATAGGAAATACAAGTGTTTCTGCTTTCTTTAATTACTTTATTGGTTTTATGTTAGTGTGTATTTTAAACATATTCCAGATTGCCAAATGTTGTTTTCTGCGTCATACCTGTGAAGATTCTGGGTCATCCAGGTCATATTGTTTTCAGGAGTCGTACACGTGTACATAGACAACAAAACAAGCAATTCCAGTTATCCTATATGCACTTGTACAACTCATGAAAAAATCTGCCACATTCTGTTTTTTAGATTAATCAGTCAACCAAAAACTAATTCAGACAGGAGTTGGAATTAGGTGCAACTATTATTTTTTATTATTTTCACTCTGTCTGACAAACAATATTTTCAGTTTACTTTCATAGATGATGAAGGAAAACAACAAATGTTAAATCTCTGAAGCTGGATCCACTGATTTATTTTTTGATTTATGTGACCCAATCAATTAAATAATCAATGAAAATGTTTTAAGTCGATTTTGTGATTGATTATCATCGCAGCCCTACAGTACAGCTGAATGTGTCATCAGTGACTGGCTTTAATCTGTCATAAAATAAAATCTACCTAACGTAGTTGCAAAAATATTCACCATAAATTAAACAAAACAACATGCTCAGGTATAACTACAGATCAGAGCCCAATCTGAGTGTGTAGTTAACAGTGTTTTCCTCTGTTTATCTTCACAGCTTGGTGGATGACCGCTGCGTTGTCCAGCCCGATGCAGGGGACCTCAACAACCCTCCAAAGAAGTTCAGAGGTAAGACATGGAGAGAGACGGTTCCCCTCGTCCTCCCGAGGCCTGTCCTCATCACACTGATGTGTGTTTATGCTGTGGGGTCCATGAGAGACACTGCTGAATGTGTTGTGCTGTGTTTCTTTGGTGACAGCCACAATATCCCTGCTGGACTTCAAACAGGGGCTGCCTTTGACAATGTAAATGGTGTGTGTGTGTGTGTGTGTGTGTGTGTGTGTGTGTGTGTGTGTGTGTGTGTNTGTGTGTGTGTGTGTGTGTGTGTGTGTGTGTGTGTGTGTGTGTGTGTGTGTGTGTGTGTGTGTGTGTGTGTGTGTGTGTGTGTGTGTGCCTCCATACTGTGTGTGTGCGTGCGCGCCCGCCTCTGCGCCTCTGCCTCCATACTGTGTGTGTGTGCTTGTCCATACACCTCGTCAGAGAATCAGCTCTGATGCTGGTTTGTTGGAAAACAACACACAGAGAACACACAAAAGAGCTGCTTCTCAAACAATCCTTGAAATGCCTCTGTGGGTGAACCCGCTATTATTAGCTCTCATTCAGGAAGTAGAACTCATGACCCTCAGTTCTCATGCTTGAGGTTTATATCTCTGGGGAGAGGCTTCGCTCCACATTGTGCACAGAGTATAGTGTGAAAATAGAGTCCATTGAATAAATAATATCCGCTGTTATCATGTTGATATTTCATTGACCAGACAATCAGTAATTTAATTGAGAAAATAATTCAATTTTTTTTTTTTAAAGTGTTGGTTGCAACTCTATGGATTTTAAAAGTAATGCAATTAAAAAAATGTTTGAAGGGGGGGGGGTTCTCAAATGTCTTGGCTTTTGCAATGTTATTCAACTTGATTTCAAACTTTTTCACTTTGGCTCTGAACTGTGTTTACTCTCATCTATTCCATGTCCACACCCACTCACTTTGTATTATGGGCTATGTGCTTCTATCTGCTGTTTCAAGGGTTTAAAGGAGGTCACTCTGTATTTAGAAAGCAGAAAGCTTTTGATGTGAGCAGTGACCCACACGTCTCACTCTTCACTGGGCCTCTGGTGTCCCAGGACAGGTTATCTTCCCCCAGAGACAATCACTGTCAGTACAGTAAACACAGAGTGCAGACTGATACCTCCGCGTCTGCAGCAACATGAAAGACGAGACTCTTTCTCTCTGTCTCTGTTACTGTAGCTTTCAAGGACTGTCGAGTTTATTCCTTTGACCCACACTGATGGCCAAAATAAATTGTAGCATTGTCTGTACTTGTCTAACAACTGTAGATTCCCATTATCATCATCGAGCTAAACGTAAACATCTATTTTGTAGTTTACTTTGCATCATGGTCATATCTCTATATCCACGATATATTTGCAAAATGTAAAGATAAACGCACATCTTTTCTGTTGTTTATTCTGTAAAATTCAAATCTATAGAGCAAAAATAAAGCAGTAGAAACTGATGTTCAATAAACTTTGAAATGAATTATTTGATTAAAAAGAGTTTCCTCTACAATTAGAGGTAATATTTTGACATTAATATATCGGCAAAGATGTGGCCAATGCCCATACTCGCCAAAATGACTTGAAGACGCTAATATTGCCCGATAATATCAGCAAACAGATATATCAGACAGGCTCTGAATTGGCCTGTAAGACATAGGACCAGTGAGAAACAATGCAGTTTTAGTCATACAGGATCAGAATTGTAAATTTGATTATAATTCTTCGCATGACTCTATTTTGGCAGCAGACATGTAAAGGTAATGAGGGAGGTGCCCTCACACAAGAACATTTTCACTAATTGCTTTGCCTCCTGTAATCTTCCATCTTTGCACACTCGTTTTCCTTTGACTCAGTTCTAAAACTCCTCACCACTCAGATGTCCTGCTCTAAATATGACCCACTGAAGGACTTCACCTAAAAACATGAAGCTGTGGCTGAAGCTTTGAGTCCAAGAGTTGTTGGCTCAACAGTACACTTGAACATACATTGCTGAAGTGGCTCCTGACAGCTGCTCCTGACTAGAAGAGGCAGTAAGAGGAGAAGATGGTTCTATACAAAGTCGATACAAAGTATCTCAGGCCAAGTTGCTCCTGCTTTCACCCCTATTCTTCTATATGTCTATAGACCTACAGCTTCCTGGATGTCAAATTCTGTAGTACCCTTTTGAAATGGCAGCAGTTATTTTGAATGGAAGCCATGGTTAATACTATTATTATTGTCTTTGCAAATGAGGTTCTGTTTTCATTGCTGTTTATCTGTTTGCATAGATAAGGGGGATATCATGATATTTCTATGCGTTTAATGTTTGCAGAAAGTTTCTGTGCACATGATATATGTATCTGATTCAATCACATACATTAAGTGGCCAATTGATTTCTCTTCATATTTTAAAGCTTTAATGGCATCTATCAACAACATACTCAAAAGTGAGTTTTTTAATGATGCATATTGAGGACACTTCATTTGGTCATATACACTCTGCTGTACTCGACATATTAGAAACCTGCTTGGAATCAATATGGAATAGAACAGAATGTATTTGATGTTGTCATAGATAAGTCTGAAGAAGTGGGAAACGTTATTTAAGTAAACATGAAGCAGGTTTTTCCCTGGTTAAGAACCTGCAAACAGACCTGTTGCGTGTGCTTCGATCTTAGATATAAATATATATTTCTTTCTCCAATCTTCTTTGGGAACTTCTCCTCTGGCAGCACCAAAGCTTTTCTGCCCCTCCTCCTTTGGGAGGCTCCTCAGCTGGGACAGTTGTGCAGAGATAATCCCACTAAGTGGATGCTGTAAGGGCACAAGGCCAGACTATAGCCATGTCCACCGCTTCTTATACTGTCACTGCTGAGGTATGCATAACATTTCCTCCCAATGTAAACACCAGCTCCCTCCACACAATCGCACTCTCGCTTGAGAGCGCACGCTGAGGCATCAGGACGCTTTGCTCAGTGTCTCACCCCAGACTGCATTTGAAATACCGTTGCACACCTACACACAGTTCAGCAGAGTGCGCTGAGCTACAGGCAGAGCACGAGGCAGGGAAAGCACACTGCTTTCAGTCACTTTCATCACAGTCTGTCATTACCTCTGCCAAGGAGGTTATGTTTTCACCTCCGTCTGTTTGTGAGCAGGATTTTGCAAAAACTACTCAACAGATCCCCATGAAAGGTGGTGGAGGGGTGCAGCATGAATCAAGGATGAAGCCATTCATTTCTGGTGCCGATCAGGGCACTGATCCAGGATCTTTCTTTTTCACTTTCTATAGTATTGCGAGACAGGGTGTTTGTCTGACATTTTTCTTGATTTCTCAGAGAATAATTCATTGATCTTGATGAACAAAACTCAGGCATGTTCAGTGGACTGATATTCATGAGTGTGTGTAATTTGGTGTAAAATCAAATCAAAATAGTAGTGAATTTAAATGTGGTTTCATAAACAGTCTGTTGGGCCTTTTAATTTAAACTTTATCTCTTAGGCGATTGGATGTGGGACTAGTCTCTAATTTGAAGTTTATAACAACAAGATCAGATCGTTAAACCAGTATCATGTGAAACCCATTATAGTCCTGGCTTCACATATCTGCAACTATTGGGTTGTTTGCCTTCCTCAGATGTTTGTTAACGTGCAGATTCATACTGAAACTATGCCTCACTCTGCAGCATAGCCACCACCTACAATATCTCTTGTCCGTCCCAACCGTCATTACTGTCAGACACACTGCAGACCAGCTGGGTGGTTCATGTGAGATAAACACCAGAAACAGTTCTGTCTTCAGTCCCTTCCTCTACTAATAGCAACATGTATTGCTTTCCTGTCTTTAGAGCGACGAGAGCTGTTGCAGGAAACAATCAGGGGAACATGTTGTAGAGCCATTTATTGTCTTAAATGCTCTACAAGGGTATTAGTTGCTTCCTGTATAATTTTGCTAGCAGCATAGAGAACCTTGGAGTTTGTGGAAACCAGGTCATTGAGGATATTGTTGATTTAACACAGAATAGCAGCAGTATAATGTGTTTATGGCTCCACAGTATTGTCTAATTACTGCAGGGAAGAGTTGCTCAGATCTGTTCCAGAGGCACAAGCTGGCCTCGCTGCCTGTGTCTGAACACTGAAGACTTCTTTGTGATGTGGACATGTCAGGATTTCTCTCACATGATGTGCTCCAGCTGCTTTACTGACAGAGCAGCAGAAAACAAAGAGGAGAAGAAGTGGAAGTTGGATTTTTATAGTCTAAACTAATTCTGCTCTGAAGAAACAATGACCTCTAAACTTGTATACCATTGTGAATGATGCAGCCCTGTGTTGTCACATAGTGAGTGCATGTAATTGAAGACTTCTCATGTTGTTGCAGTATTTAATGATTGTAGAGGTTCTGTTCTATGATAAACGTAGAATGGTTAGTAGAGCACATAACTCTGCCAAAGCCCAACAGTTCCCTAATTTTAATGAAGTGACACCAAATTGAACACGCTCATAGATATCAGTTCCCAGAATGTACAAGATTTTGTTTTCATCAAGATCCGTGTCACATTTTTGAGAAACTGGAGAAAAAGTCAATGTGCAGACGGAGAGTGTTGTCAGTCTTTAGTACCACTAAGGAGGTTGTGTTGTCACCCCTGTGCGTTTGTTGGTTTGTAAGCACGATTGTGCAAAACCTCCAGAGCGGATCTTGGTGGAAGGATGTGGTATGGGTTATGAAGGAACACATTAAATGTTGGTGTGGATACAGATCAGGGATCAGATCCAGGATTTTGTTTTTATTCACTTTCTATAACATCATGAGACATTTTTCTCCATTTTCCCAATCGATGGATCTTGATGAAAGTGGATGGATGTGTTTGAAATTTTAGTTTCTACTCAGTGCTATTTTTTTAACTATAGTATTGTGCCTCTTCATTTTAGGCTTTAATGAAAGGACTTGATCTTAGCACTGACTTACTATAAACACTGGGAACTGAAACACTTTATTTTGTTTTACAGTTTGCTAATAAAGGCTTGTTTTAAGCAGCATGTTGCATAATAGGAGATTATAATTTATGCAGTGCACAGGGGAAACAATTGACATGTGGATGTTAAATGCAGTCAGGTTTATGGGGTGGCAGTTCCAGTGGTAAACTGTTGTGTTAGATTGCAGGAACGTTAATGAATCCCTGAGTTTTCTGCCCTCTGGACCGGTCCCACAACTTCCCCTGTGCACTGAACCCTACAGGAATTCTCCCCTCACATCTCAGCATTACCGACAGGACATGTTTCCCAGCTGACTGGGTTTTTAAAGGCAAACCTCGAGTGTTGAGCTGATCATATATCACATGCTGTTATTGTGTGTGTATATTATGATCAAAATGGCTGTGTCAAATTGTGCTGCAGCTCACTCGTCACACAGGAGCTTCCAGTGTCTGTCTTCATCTGTCTTTTACACTTTCAAGCTCGATCCAGTTCCGCAGAGAACATAATCATCTGTTTGTATCTACGTTTTGTGAACACATGAGCGTCACAAATACACATTGACTCAATTCACAGCATTGAATAGCTCCAGGTCTCACCCTCTCTCTTTGTGCTCTCTTTCTCCGTTTCACATTCTTTCACTCTCTTCCTGTCTTTCTCATTTCTCTTTCACTTCCTTTTCTTAGTTTTTCCAACTGTATTTTGGGTCAAGCTTAAGTAAACCATTTCTGATGTGGGGTGTGAGAGGGAAGTGGGGTGGGAGGAAGATTTTTTGGGAGATAGAGGCCGTTAACTCTGAGGGAGAGAATGACATGGTTAGAAGAATTCAGAGAGGAGAAAGGAGGGATGGTAGAATATCGAGGGGGGAAAGAAGGAGTCCCCACCCTCCTCTCTCTCCCTCCGTCGTCCCACTCCCCTTCTCTTCACTGGCCTTATTTGGTCATGTTACTGCGGCTATAGCTGGAGGAGAGCGAGAGAAAGAGAGGGAGAATGGGGGAAGGATGCGACAGATTGTACTTTTTTTTCCCCTTCACAGAAGAGAGCTTTGGTTTGAGGAGAGGTGAAGTCAGAGTGAATCCAGCACATAGACGGAGAAGTGGCTGGTGGACAGACGTTAAATCCGTCAGAGAAACACCAGCTTGTGTGTTTGTACAACTTAAAACTACACACAGCTTTCAGCCTCTGTGCTTTTCAGCTGCAGTCGTTGTGCTACTCGTTTCAGAAGAGGAACTGTTCTGGGACAAAAGAGGAACTCTATAATTCTGTCAGCATGCAAATCAAGGGCCAGTTTTTTCCTCCTCGTGAGTGTCTGCAATATCTATGAAAATGAGCATCACAATCAGCAGCATCTCACTGTTGCTGTGGTTACAAACAACTCGACTCTGTGTCACATCCTAACACACATAATTTGGGACACTGATACGACACAGCAGCATTCTCCAAATCTTATGAAGATTAGAGGAGGAAATGTATATGGAACATTACACATATACACAGAAACACATGCACAAACACACACACATACACAGGCACATGCACAGTCATGTCTCCATGACCTCAGAGGACTGGAGACTTACTCAAACCTTAACCATAGTTACCACTGCTCGCCTAACCCTAACCCTTAACCTTACCTGAACATAAACCTAATTTGAAAACGTGTCTTTTTGAAATTTTAAGATTTACATTAGACACACACACACACACACACAGGTTTTCCTGTTCCTTCATCACTCCTCTTGGAAACAGACAAAGCCCTTTGATTCCATTCAGCAGAATAATAAAAAGACAAAACACACACACACACACACACACACACACACGTGCATGGGTGTGATCACTTGAGTGGGTTAAATAGTGAGTTTCTATTTTTTTTTTCTCTGCTCTTTGAATATTTCACCAGTCATTTCAAAAAGGTGTTTATGAGCCTGAGCCTGTCATGGTATTTCTAAATCATCTGTTTTATTTAAGGTTCTGCTGTTTTATTGAATGTTTTGTTTCCACTTGTTTCAGTGACAGATGCTTTTCAGCGTCTGTTGGTTTATGTTTAACTTGTGTTTAGCTCTGACCTGTTTCCCACACTGCAGTGCTGATCTCTTTCACTCATTGTATTCTCAACCTTTTTCCTCTTATTTGTTTAATGTGAACCCATGTCTCTTTCTTACCAATAAACATTGTTGTCAACCTCCAGTTTTTTCCCTGTAGATGAACAAAATAAGTCTGTTTTTTCTCCATGGTTCTGCATGCACAGATTTACATGAACATGTCCACCTGTACAGTTTGTCTTTAATGTCTCTGTGCATATCTCCACATTACAGATACATCTTTGTCTCTCTCTCTCTGTGCAGACTGTCTGTTCAGACTATGTCCTATGAACCGTTACTCGGCCCAGAAGCAGTTCTGGAAAGCAGCGAAGCCTGGAGGGAACACTGACACAGTGCTGCTCAACAAGCTCCATGTGAGTGAAGTGACAACATGTTCAGCTCCCAGCCGTCCTCACTGCACACCAGTGCAACACACACAGCCCTGTCCGCAGGGGCTCACAGGCTACAGAGAAAGAGTTAGAGTTACACAAGGCACACTTTATTTTGGATTTGAAAGAAAACTGAAAGCCAGGCAGTCCAGTGAATATTCACAAACCAGAGTATAAGAGCAGTTTCAAAGGAGATTTGCTGAGTTAGACTTTCAAACTCCTTTTATAGACATTTCCGAAGCCTTTCACTCCTACTATCCTACCTTTCCACCCTCTACACTCTTCTCTCTTTCTGCTGTGTTACAATACCATTTAAAGCAATATGCTATCTGACCACACAGCCATAAAACAGAAGATTACAATCTCACGTTTGTTTCTATGGAGATGTGAGATTTTGGTTAAAGCCCTGCTGTGGACTGTACATTTTTTGCCTAAGAACATGTGTATTGCAATCCTTTACCTCACAGCTAAACAGTCAGATTACTTCCTCCTGAATGAGTGTGTGATTTGCTCTCTTATTTTCTCTGTTCTCTGCCAGCATGCAGCCGACCTGGAGAAGAAGCAGAACGACTCTGAAAACAAAAAACTTCTTGGAACAGTAATTCAGTATGGGAACGTTATTCAGGTTTGTTCTCAGGAAAGACAAATCATCTGCTTGATATCATTCAGACAAACTTTGTTGAGACTTCAACAAACTTTTGATCAAACTGAAGTTGCCCTTGCATGCCAGCAATGGAGATGATTCAATCTCATAGATTATCCAAAACTTCCTATCTTAAATTTGATTAATGAATAACTCTTAAATAAAACAAATCATCAGTTGCAATTTCCATCATCGAAAATGAAGTCAAACTGTTAAAAATGTATAAAATTAAATATATTCTTTAATTTGTCCTGAGCTTGATTTGCCCCTGATAATTAAACAAAAAGAGCCAGACTTAATATTATACCCACACATAAAACATGTATGATAATAATAACATACCTTATTTATATAGCCCGTTTCATACATAAAATACACATCAGATGCTTACACTTTGAGCTTATCTATACAAATCATCATATAAAGAACAAAAATCCATATGTTTAATTACGGTGAGAAGACAATCTTCTGTGTAGTCATGCAAAATGGTAAAAAGACTGTATTTATCACTTAAAACACTTTACAGTACAAGTCGTATTTCAAGTCGCACACATTCATACAGCGCCACTCAAAAGCGGTGCTTTTTCTATTACACTTCATTCATGCACTGTTGGCTCAGCCATCAGGGGAAATTTGGGATTCAATATCTTGCCCAAGGACACTTTAGAATGCAGACAGGAGCTGCTGGGGATCAAACCTCCTGGTTAGTAGACAATCATCTCTACCTCCTGAGCCGTTAGAGCCTGTTCTCTTTTTAGAGAGTGGATTTTGTACCTAATTCTTACCTGCTGTCATTTTTTGAAAAGCTGGCAGTAAGGGCAGTAATAACGTCTTGTAGTCAGTCACTGTAAGCACCACTTCTTCCTCACATTACATTTCATCGTGTCTGGTGTATTTCTGTTTATTGCCTCCATACAGCTCCTCCACCTGAAGAGCAACAAGTATCTGACGGTGAACAAGCGTCTGCCTGCGCTGTTAGAGAAGAACGCCATGAGGGTGATGCTAGACACGGCAGGAAACGAAGGCTCCTGGTTTTACATACAGCCTTTCTACAAACTACGCTCCATTGGGGACAGTGTGAGTCATCGTGTCTAAGTCTTTGGGAATGCTATACTGTAATGCTGTTGATTTTTAATGATTGATAATGGAGTCACTTGCATGTAAATTAGTATCATAAGGTCAAAACTGCAGAATCAACCTCAAGGCCACAGGTCTGATTTACCATCCTACTACTCGATCTTTCCCATCACATCTCACCCTGTGTGGACCTGTGCCAGAGACTAATTGGTGTTTACCTGATCACAAAGCTCCTGTTGGCAGCCGCTCTTCTTCCCTACAGCAGGGAGTAAGTGGGCTCGTTCCCAAGGACAAAATGGACCATGGCAGAGTCACCGGGCTCTATGCTAACCTCCGCTTTAAGTAGGCATGGCACAAGGCCTAAGCAGGAATCAGACACTGCCTGCTGAAAATATTACAAAGACAATGACATGCAAATGGAGAGTGAGGCTCTCTTATCTTTGCATGTTGGAGATTAAAGGTTGAGTAATATAAGCTTCCTGGTGTTGCAGAGTGCAGGAAATCCAATACATCAAAAAATGCAAGTTTTATTTGTGGAGCCCAGAATAAGTTCAGTATGTACATTATGATGAGTGTTTAGATTAAACATCGCTTTACACCTTCTTAAATGCTTCAAATCTTGATTCTTTGGCAGCAAGGGTTATAATATGGAATGTAATTTTTTTTATTTCACATTTTTGTGTTTTATTGTGTGTTTTTTGCGTGACTGCAGGTGGTGATCGGGGACAAAGTGGTCCTGAACCCTGTGAATGCTGGCCAGCCCCTGCATGCCAGCACGCACCAGCTTGTGGATAATCCAGGATGCAATGAGGTCTGGTTGAGCCGCTGCAACTCATCTTCCCTCCTCAGATGTTTCTGTGGGAGTTTCTGCTCTGCTGAGTCTAATAATAGCCTTTTCCTCATAACCGCTACTCAGTTATTAGCTGCCTGACGTGAAACAGTACAGGATTGTTCCTCCTGATTCAGAACAGTGAAGCTGTAGGCGTAAACTACCAGTGCACTCAGAGGGCTGTGCCGTTTCTCTCTTGTTACGCTCGACTGCTCCGCGTTACTTAACATTTCCTCTGTTGTTTCATCAGATCACTGAGACAGTTTAAGCTTAAGATCAGCTCTGGGGCAGTTTTTTCCTGTTTACCAAGAGTGAAAAAAACTCAATTAGTCTTTATTTATGCCTCTAGAAGAGGCTCAGAGATATGTGAATTAAAGTACAAATGACAGCTACCAGAGTAGGGAAGATTTTATCAGTAATTCTGAAAGTAGAATGACAGTCATACCTCAAACCACATTTAAATGAGCTATAGCGGGATTTTTGATACAGTGCACACATTCCTAAATATAAGTCCCCTGTCCCCACATTTTTGAATAAACTCATTTTTGAATAAAAATTCCTGTATCCGTCCCCTGATCTGGTTCTGCACTAAATTTAATATGTTCTTCCCTGAACCACACTGCACACTTCCACCAAGTGTCATGTTAGTCTGTCCTCTAGTTTTTGTGTCATGTTGCTTACCAGCAAACAAAGAAACAAACAGACAGTGGTGAAAATATAAAAGCCTTGGTGGAGGTAACTCCTGTTTCTGCTTCCTTGTCTGTGTGGCATGTAAAAACTCATAGTTAAATTTGCAATTCAATTAAATACTAGATTATTTTATCACATAATCAAGCAAAGTCATGAATAACTGACCTGCCAGGGCATCACAGCTACAGTCAAACTGTTTGTTTGTTTTTCAGGTGAACTCAGTCAACTGTAACACCAGCTGGAAGATTGTCTTGTTTATGAAATGGAGTGACAATCAGGAGATCATCCTAAAAGGGGTTTGTTTCACATCAGCTAACAAACAAACACGTTATTATGTTTATTTATTGTTTTTTAGAACTTCAGCACAAAACACATTTTATACCAGATACTACAAATACATTTATCTTTTTCTTAGAAAATATCTTTTTGTTGTTTATGTCTAATAGCTGAGTGGGTGTAAATTAGATTATGTTTATAGCATCAAATAACTATAATCAAAACCAAACTTACTGGAAAAATTTTAATTTGAAAACACATCAGTGTGACTAGAACTTCCCAATTGGCAAAAAATGTATTTGATCTTTATTTTCACTTTTTAGTTTGTTCCATGTCCAATATGGAGCAGGCTGGATTTATGACCTATACTGCAGCCAGCCACCAGGGGGCCATTGGGAAGCTTTGGTTGTCTTCCATTTTTATACACAGTCAATGGTCCACATTGAAATCTTGCATTATAATAAATATTAATAGTCTCTGGCTTAGAATAAGGAATTTATTCTGTGAGCTATAAAATGTGTTGTAGTGAGAATAAATATAGTTTTTTTAATGTTTGTCTCTGTAATAAGTTGGTTTTAAATTTAGGCTGAATTCTTTTAATGGTAACAAATATTTGTCTTCTCTCCAGGGTGACGTGGTTCGGTTATTTCATGCAGAGCAAGAGAAATTCCTCACATGTGATGATCACAGAAGAAAACAATATGTTTTCCTTCGCACTACTGGACGGCAGTCAGCTACCTCGGCAACCAGCAGCAAAGCCCTGTGGGAGATCGAGGTGAGGGAGAGTATTTTTAGACTTGGTTTTACTGATTGTGTTATGGCAGTATATATAAAACCTGACTTTTGACTCTGTCTCATTGAATTCTTTGGATTGTATGGTTTAGTAATCACTACTTTTTGCTCTGGTTATAGGTCGTGCAGCATGACCCGTGCAGAGGAGGGGCGGGCTACTGGAACAGCCTGTTCAGGTTCAAACACCTGGCCACTGGACACTACCTGGCTGCAGAGGTCTGTCCACCATGCACACTATGTTTACTGGCATTAGAACAAAGCAACACTCGACACACTTCAACTGAATTTAAATAACCAAAGACCTTTGACGTTATTATAATGACATATTATGGTAATATTTTCAGACGAGACATTGGCGCAAAAGAAGAAGTCAATTCAACTTCATTGTAGATTCTGCCATATGTACAGGACATTGACATCTCTGATCCTCAGTGTAACATATTCAGTACTCAAAACATAGTACACAGTACGACATAGTAAGCAGTCATAACACACACAGTGGATAGGATATGAGTAGTGCAAATTGGAGTAGTGCAAAAATTGATTGAGAGTGTAAAAATACTTGTAATATACATCCACAGGATGTAGTAAATATTGGTTGAACTAACTATCTTCAACTGATATTGAAGATATTCACATACTTACTAAACTGTAAAGCAACTATATAGTTGTGATTTAGACTAAATGATGGTATTTACACTTGTAGACAATATGTAGACTTGCTTTTCCTTCCACCTGCTGAACCACTCAGTATTTCTGCAGGTGAATCCAGAGTATGAAGAGGAGTGCCTGGAGTCCCGCTCCTCAGTAAGTAAATCATGTTGAAATACTGATCTGCAGATTATTACTCTGTGTAACAATCACCAATAAATCACAGTTTTAGGATTTATTCATTAATGTTCAACACAACGGCAATACTGTTGTAAAACCAAGGTGCAGTAAACTGTCTGTAACCATAGTAACATTATAAGACTTTACCCAAGGTTAACTCATTGATGCAATTTTCTGAAAACTGAGATTTGAACTTCTTATAAACAAACAATGGATGACAGCCTCCGTTATTTTCCAAATTGTTACTTCTTTGTCTGTGGAGAAAAAAAATTCAGTTTTTTTGCAGATTGCTGAGGTAGTACATGTTAGTAAACAGCAGGTGGCAGCCTTGCATTGTTAATGTGTCTTTCTGCCATAGCACTCATTGACTTTCAACATGAAGGGGTTCACATCTGCAAAAAAAAAAGAAAACAGCATTGAGATGGAGAAAATGTTGATACAAAAATAGGAAAAATAATCTGATTTAACCAAGAATAAAGCTGAGACTGTTGATGGAAGTCATTGTGCCTCTCTTGTATTATTTGCTTCAACTAGAAAGGCACATACCTCCGTCATGGCCCAACAGGCCCCTCAATCCAGTCAAGCTGCACCACATTGCACACACTCAGAGATATCCGTTCCCTAAATATGGCCAACTTTTTTAAATCGAGATCCATGCTTTATTCTCTGGGAAATCATTATGCCGATATACATTCTGTCTGTATCAAAAACACCCTGTCTCACAATGTTGAAGAAAGTGAAAACAATTCCTGCATCCTCCTCTTTGTCCAGATCTGCTCCAAAATGTAATCAGTTCAGTAGTTGTTTGTGTAATCCTGCTGACAGAAAACAAAAGGATTTATTCAAGACATTATACTAATAGAAGAAAAAATACTTGTTCACACACCTGACGTTTGTTGGTCTTGACTCACACATCCGATAATGTCAGTCTCTTATTGTGTGAGGTTATAAGAAGTGATTTCTAAGCAGGCAGTGTTTTGGTTCTGTCTCTCTAGCTGGACTCAGAGCAAGAAGCCTTGAGAGCCCGTTTGAGAAACGTCCAGGACAAAGTCATGTACACTCTAGTGTCCGTTCCTGATGGAAATGACATTTCCTCCATATTTGAACTGGACCCCACCACCTTGAGAGGGGGGGACTCACTCGTACCCAGGTAGGAAGAACATAAAGATAAAGGTGGTAGTAAATTGGTGAAGTGTTTTACACCCAGCTCGCACCTGTGGTACTGCAGATATGAATGGGTAGAAAAGAAAGAAGGACACGGTCAGTTGTCTGGTCTGTCGCTCTTTCCACTGAAAACCAAACAGCAGACACGTTACAAACAGGACTCTTCCAGAATGTATTATTATTGTCATCTTAATGTGGCTGTAAAGTGTGTGTGTGTGTGTGTGTGTGTGTGTGTGTGTGTGGTGAGATTACTTTTGCATCTGTAACAAATTAGATAATCCACAGACTCACAGTATTTCACGAGAAATAATTTCGCCAGAAGAGGAAGGGGAAGTTGTTGTAAATTCTTGCAGATGTGACGTTCATGTGAACACTTGCATTTGGTCCTATTGCAGCTTGAAGTTGTTGCTGTTGTGCGTGTGCGCGTGCGTGTGTGTGTGTGTGTGTGTGTGTGTGTGTGTGTGTGTGTGTGTGCATGCAGGATTTCTTTAGAATCACTTACAAATTAAATAAACCACAGACTCAGTATTTCACTAGAAATATTGTCACCAGAATAAGAAGAGGAAGCTGTTGTACATTCCAAATGATTTGGAATTCACCAGTCCGTTTATTTCTACTAAAACCCTTTTTTTTTAAAAATCATCAGCCATGCAATCATCCCAAGAATTGTAGCCTGCCAGCAACATATCTCTTCTTTTATACAGTTACCCCATAACTGACTCCTAACATGACTGAATCCATAATTGAAAAATCCAGTGATGTGGAATATACAATGATATTACATGAATCTTTCTATTATACCTTTACTACAGTTAAATTGCAAGTAAAACTTAGACTTGTACTTGTAATAGAATATTGGTGCTGTTACTTAATTAGAAGATCTGAATGCTTACTCCGCCAACACCTACCTTACAACATTGTTGTTTATGCCAACTACTTGACTTTATATTTGATTCAGCCATGTCCAAAGAGTAGTAGCAAGGCATCTGTGTATTTTAGGAATGCTGAAGAAAAAGCACAATGCTTTTGAAGATGCAGTGTGTCAAGAGTATGTGTGTGTAGTCCATATATTTGCACAATATGCAAACAGAAATATCAGTATAAAAATCTGTTTTCAGGAACTCGTACGTGCGCCTCAGACACCTGTGCACCAACACGTGGGTTCACAGCACCAACCAACCAATTGATAAGGAGGAGGAGAAACCCGTCATGCTGCGTGTAAGTGACAGTTAATTTACACTTTATATATACCACCAGTAAACTGTTGCAGTTTTTGTCTCAACTCTGGCTGTGAAAACAATGCTACAGTGAAATGCTTTCTGGGATTATATGATTTCATGAGTCACTGGTAGTAAAAATCTAAACCAACTGTTGCCAGTTTAAAAAGCGTTGCTGCAGAATATTCTGAATATCCTGTGTAAGTTGCCCCATCTATACACATGGTTGTTGTTTTTTTCACAATACATTTTAGTATTTATTATGAGTTCTCAGAGTATTTGGTAAAAAATACTGTAAACACTAAAAAATATCACATATTTCTCTGTTGTGCATTTCTGTTTTAATTCAAGATCGGCACATCTGCACTGAAAGAGGACAAAGAGGCATTTGCCATTGTGCCTGTCTCTCCAGCTGAAGTGAGAGACCTTGACTTTGCCAATGATGCCAGCAAAGTGTTGGCCTCTATCGCTGGAAAGCTTGAAAAAGGCACCATCACTCAGAATGAGAGGAGGTATAAATTGCATGGTGGTTCCACTCTGTGAACTTTAATAAAAACCGGAACAAGATGGTGAAGAGTTACTGCTTTGTGTGTTTTTATTATATAAAACCAGAGCGGTCACTAAGCTCCTGGAGGATCTGGTGTTCTTCGTTGTGGACATTCCCAACAACGGACAGGATGTTCTAGAGATCATGGTCAACAAACCGAACAGAGAGCGACAGAAACTCATGAGAGAACAGAACATTCTCAAACAGGTGATGTGTGAATACAATACATTTTAAACACACTCTTTACATTTCATCCTCCACTGAACGTGACCATGTTTGCCCCCTCCCCGCTCCCTCTGTATCATAACCTTAAGTGGCACGGTTGTCTGGTCGACTGCCTGCATGAAAATATTCTTCAGCCTTTAACTTCAATTTTCTCAACATCACCTGTCTATTCAGATCTTCAAGCTGCTGCAGGCTCCCTTCACAGACAGTGGTGATGGGCCCATGCTGCGACTGGAAGAGCTGGCTGACCAGCGACATGCCCCCTTCAGACACATCTGCCGCCTGTGTTACCGGGTTTTGCGTCACTCTCAGCAGGACTACCGCAAGAACCAGGTATGGCTTGTCAGTCCTGGCACAGTGGGACGTGGGCGTTCATGCTCATGGAGTTCGTATAAAGCTGCATTCCACGTTTCCTTCAGTAAATTGAATAAAGGGGAAAGACACACTGAAAAAAATCTAATTTACTGAACTGTATAAGACCTTTTAAATTGCTGATAAGAGGACAGAGAACCACAGTGTGATACGACCTCAAGCTATAACAAATGCTTCTTATTGTGAATTACAACATTCCCATATCCAATGAATTGTCTATTTCTCTTAACCTCATTACAGCTTAAATCCTGGTTTTGTTTGTGCACATATGTTCTGACCGGTTGTGTCTTTGTTCCTGCAGGAGTATATCGCTAAACAGTTCCGCTTCATGCAGAAACAGATCGGCTATGACGTCCTGGCCGAGGACACAATCACGGCTCTGCTCCACAACAACCGCAAGCTGCTGGAGAAACACATCACTGCTGCGGAGATCGACACATTCGTTAGTCTGGTCCGCAAGAACCGAGAGCCAAGGTTTGTGTGTGCATCCGCCCGTCTGTGTACAACGCACAGGACGATCTGCCTGACAGACTGAATCAAAGAGGAAATTATTAAATCATGATTAATCATTTGCATAAATAAGCTTAAGAACAGAAAATATTTAGGGTTTATGCAAGTTTAAGACTCCAGTAAAAGTGAAGACATGGTTGAATTGATTAATAGCAAGATCATAAAAATTTGTTTTAAACAGTTTTGTTAAAAAAAGACTAAGGAGGCATTTCTATTACGTAGCTGGTTTCCAATCTTTGGTGCATAATTGCAGAGAGCTGCTTCACTGTATTGTTGTAGTTTGAGTGTGGCACATACAGCAAGCAAACAGTAAGGGACCTACGTCAGCACATAGGAGCATAATCAAATAGACATGGTGTAAGACATTTTTGGGGAATTATAAATTCTGTTCTCTGTGTTATTAGCAACCAGTGAAGTGATTCTAGTACTGGTCTAATATTTTCTGTCTCTCTCTCTCTTTCTCTTTTTTTTTCAAATAATCCAAAAGTGCAAATTTATATCCTGATGGTAATCTGAGTATCCTGATCGTAATAGTAAATCCTCTTCACATGAATGCACACAATCTTTGCACACATCACAGTGAACTACCATCACCAGTAACTGACCAATAAGAGTATTCAGCATTTGATTTTAACTTCAATCAAATCTTCAGCATACTTAAGTATATTTCTTTTGTTGAAATCTTTGGTGAAATTTGAATATGTATTGTGTGTGTGTGTGTGTGTGTGCGTGTGTGTGTGTCCAGGTTCCTGGACTACCTGTCAGACTTGTGTGTGTCAATGAATAAGTCCATCCCTGTGACACAGGAGCTCATCTGTAACGCAGTGCTGGATCCAGCTAACGCAGACATCCTCATAGAAACAAAGTGAGTACTCCTCCCTCCATGTTCATCTATGTCTGTCTTCTCCTCTTCACCACTAAATTCAGCATCTACAGCAGGTTTAACATTTAATTTATCTCAATTATTTCCTAATCTAATGACAATACTGAAATAATATTGTCTGCTAACAACCACTGTGTCATACAGATATACTCTGTTTTTTAAAGTTAAACCAGGCAAA